AATCAATCCATTCACCGAGTTTAATCAATCAATCCATTCACCGAGTTTAATCAATCAATCCATTCACCGAGTTTAATCAATCAATTCACCAAGTTTAATCGATGCATTCACCGAGTTTAATCAATACATTAACCATCTTGACGAGTGGAAGAAGGCCTGACTGAGCGGATTGGTCGCGGGATTGACGACCATGATGGGTTCACATGCGCTCATCCATTTTCTTCTGCATTCGATTTCGACGCAGAGCTGATGAGCATTTGGTGTTGGCGTCACCAACACCGGCACGAACGAGATAAGAAAGAGGAGAGATGCAACCCGTCTAGCAACATCCCCACCAGGAGAATGGAGATTGAAAAAAAAAAAAAAAAAAAAAGATATGATAGCAATAGCGATGAAGGAGCTCCACACGTGAAGAGACGACAGCATAGCAGCACACAAAAGGGAAAAAAAAAAAAAAAAAAAAAAAAATGTACATGTTAGAGAAGAAGCGCTCCAAGGGTGTGGTAATATCACACAGTAATTATTTCATCGTCCTTCTTTTTTTTCCCCCTGTTCTTGTAACATTCGAAGAGTCATTATTTCGTCATCCTTTATTTTTCCCCCCTGTTCTTATAACAATCGGAATCATCGGGACTTGGAGTGATGACGTGCGTGCCTCCATGAAGAGAAGCTAGTGGCCCCGAAATTACTATCCTCTCTCTCCACCCCGATCTCTCTCACTCTAGGGGGTGCGAATCTTCAAATGACCCCCCCCCCCCCCCCCCCCGCCTCCTCTACCCACGCGCCTTTTTCCTTTTCTTCCTTCTCCACTGCCTCCCTTCCACCTTTGCTTTTTCTTACTACAACTAGCGCCTTCTCTCTCTCTCTCTCTCTCTCTCTCTCTCTCTCTCTCTCTCTCTCTCTCTCTCTGCGTGTGTATGTGTGTGTGCACATTGTGAGAGACAGGAGACATGCAGTGACAGCGAGAAAGAGGGAAGGAAGAATACTGCTGGAGCGACATTTTCACCAACGTCTATTGTTTGGAGCAGAGTTCCATGATGAAAAGGTGTGATAAAGATCTCATGATGTGCGTAGCATGCCCATGGATTAATTACTAAGTATACTCGATGATGGCCGTCGTCAGTGCGAAGAAACAGTGGCGGAAAATCAACCGATGAAACCGACGACCGCTCGTTGTTCACCGATTTTTTTTCTTTTTCTTTTTGTCAACCCTCGGCCTTCTTCATTTGCTTCAGAAGCAGAACTCACCCAGTTTAATCAATCAATCCATTCATCGAGTTTAATCAATCCATTCACCGAGTTTAATCAATCCATTCACCGAGTTTAATCAATCAATCCATTCACCGAGTTTAATCAATCAATCCATTCACCGAGTTTAATCAATCCATTCACCGAGTTTAATCAATCAATCCATTCACCGAGTT